AGGGCCCAACACAAGGCCCAGACCTGGAAAAGGGACAGAGTAGCTAACATTTATTCTAGACCAGGACTTGAGCTAATCAATTCACAAACACAATATCATTTAACCTCGCAGTATTTTATTAGGTGAGAAGAACATCTACAGTTTTACAGATGAGAAAATGTAGGCTCAGAGAAGTCAATTCCCTTGCCCAGAATCACACAGTGAGTGAGTCACAAATCCTAATGAGACTCCATGTCAGTCTTCCTTAGAGCTTTAGCCACTCCAAAGCATCCACCTTAACCGCTGCTCCTTAGGGGAGAGAAAGGAGGGAGAAATGAGGAGACATTGCCTCACTTGGCCCTCTCAGCTCTGACTGGGACAGGGACATCAGTTAACATCCCAATAAAAGCTGAGGACAGCCTCACTAGGGCAGGGAAAAGATGAGCCAGTGGTGGGACAGAGACATGCTTAGGAAGAGGCACCTTCAGGATCTGTCCACCTGCTGGATGAGGGAGTGCCAAAGGAGAGGGACGGATCACTGGGTAGATAGTGGTGCCGTTGACAGAATGTGAACTTTGAATCATCACTCTATCATCAGCATCACAGATAAAGAGAGCTAACTTCATGCCAGGCACTGTACCAAATACTCTTCATACGCTGTCCCATTCAGGCCTCAAGGCAACCTATGAGAAAGTATTATTGTCTCCATTTTATACATGAGAATATGGAGGCTTTCAAAGAATACCCTGTTGGGGACAGTTTACACAGAAAATTACCTGAACCTTGTAAAGAAATATTTTTACTGAACCCTTTTGACCATGAAATATATTCCCTATCTTCTCAGTCCTTCCCCTCAGCATAAAGAGATTGGGGTGGCCTGTGTACCCTATTATTGCCCCACAGCCACAGTTCCAACATGGGCTGGGCTCATGAGGGACAGAGGGATGGAGGCAAGGAGAGAGACTCCACAAAGTTCCAGTGTCCCAGGGCCTGCCAGTGCCCAAGATATTCCCCAGCCACCTCTCCAGCGGGTTTAACAAGTCTGTCCACAAATGGAACAAATGGAATAGGCATCCAGGAGTTCTCCAGGCAAGTGAGGGGCAGGCAGGTCAGCATCCCCCTCACTGAAGTACCCGGATTTCTTCTGATGGCCACGTGGGCAGATTCCACTGCTCCTGAAATCCCCACCCTTCCTGCTCAAGGACTCACTCTGGCATCGCAGCTACTTGGAGCCCTCACCCCTGTCGAGCTATCAGAATTGGGTAAATGCAGCTGTTGTTTTGAAGGAGTAAGTTGAGGGCACTTAGCGAATCAACTTCCTAATGAATCTTTTCAGGTCTGGATGGGAACTGGTCTGTTACTATGGAACTTGGCTTGATTTGGAAATTAATGTGGTAATTTACAGCCACTCTGCCAGGCAGGAAGATTAAAAAAGAGAGAGAGAGTGAGGGAAGAGAGAGCGAGCGGAGAGAGAGCAAGGCAAGAGAGAGTGAGGGGACAGAGAGTGAGGGGAGAGAGACCTCTGCAGTGGCAGAACCTTGAGAGGCACCGATTTAGGGCATGTCCGGAGAGCTGGAGTGTATGCACTCACTGGGTACCATGAAGGTGGTGTCAGCCAGGTGGGCCCATGTGAGACACAGGTATGGGGGCAAGGAGAGATACTTCACAAAGTAGATCAAAAATCAGTGCCCCAGGACCAGTTAGGGCAGTGCGGGCAGTCCTCCCTTTAGAGAGAGAGAGACAGACAGACAGAGAGAGAGAGTGAGTGTGTGAGAGTGTGTGCGTGTGTGTGTGTGTGTGTGTGTGTGTGTGTGTCACTAACTTCTGAGATTCATTTCCCAAAGTCAGTTTTTGCCATGGCCATAAGTCACCAATGTTATTACTTAATGTTTTTCTTTAAATTTACTCAATTTGTATCTTAAATGAGTTTTATATCACTTCTATCATAAATGGAAAACCAATATTACATACAAAGAAGAAAAGGTAAATGTAAAATTAATTACACTGAAAATAAAACAAAATTACTAAATTCTAGAGCAGCCCTTGCCTGTCAAAGGCTCTGAGTCTGAAACCTGCCCCCATTTGGGGAAAAGCATGTTAAGAGAGGTGCTCAAGACATATTAGTGCAGACCTGAGGTGTAAGCACCTCTTGTTGTAATCAGACAGATTGAAAGAAGAATTAAATGGAAACTACTTTTGCACTTGTGAGTCAGTGCTGTGTAACGCTATGATCTTTGCATTTTATTTATTTAACAAACATTTACATAGCACATACTATGTGTCAGAGACTATTCTAAAAACTTTTTAAAAATCAACTCATTTAATTCCTATACTAACCCTAGATTATTTCCATTTTAGAGAGAGGAGACTGAGGTACAGAGAAGTTTAGTAGCTTGCTAGAGGTCACTTCAAACCATCTAAAATCCTGTACTGGTCATTCTACCCTTTGGTGGCCAGAGTGGCCCAGAGATCCTCCAGCCACTGTCTAGACCACAGCTACAGACATGTGGGACGGAACAGTATGCAGACAGGGAGTTCTAGTTAGCTGTAGACTGACTCCTCATGGCCCAGGCCAGGCCAGGCCAGTGGTGGCATCACTGGGTAGATCCTGGGGGTCCCTCCTCCTAAGCCCTCTGAGGCTCTCCATCTGACTCTAAGTCTGAGTTCTATGGGTGGCAGGCAGGAGACAGTTGGATGCTGATTCAAAAAAGAGTCTCTAGGAGAGAAGGGGGTGATTTTCTTGTTTTTTTGTTTTGTGAGGTTTTTTTTTTTAATATATAAATAGATATAACACAAGCCCTTTTCTGCTTTTCTCTGCTAACTGTTCTTGGCAGAAGTCTTTAAGGACCAGACAGGGGCTTTCACTGATGGTCAGGTGGCTGGGATCTGAGGAGATGGCGGGTTTCCTTGGCATAATGGCAGTGGTGGGAACAAATGGAATGGTGTAGAGATGAGGGGCCCTCTTTGGAGGGAGGGTTTCTGTGACCAGCTGCCTCTGCAAATGCAGGGAGGTGCCCTTGAGGGGCCCACTCTGGCAGTCCCTCCCTGGACAGCCCATGCCTTGTTCTGGCCTTGGGATGTAAGACATACCGCAATCCTAACTATAACCTGAATTGGGTGACAGGGGCCCTGCATCATTATTAGAATAATAAAAGAGTAGCAGATGGAATATTCTGGAAATTAATAAAACATTATTCTCTTTTGCACCTCCAAGTACGTGAGCCTTGCCCCGTCTAACTAGTGTGAAGTTGAGAATCTTCCAAAAGGGATTCCAAGAGAGAGAAAGTAATATTTGGCCTCCGACATTAAGAAAAAAAAAAGCCAGAATTTTATCCTGACCAGAACTAAAAGGAAGAGAGGAGGCTCAGAAGGAAGTCCAGATCATCAATAGAAAGAAGTAATACATTTTTTCTGCAGATTTGAGTTGGAATGTGAGTTAAATTTGAGAATCTACTAAATAGTTCACATTGATCATTTCCTTTGTGTCAGGTCATTCATTTGCCAAATGTTTTATATGCACAGCCTCATTTAATCTTCTAAATAATCCTGAGGTTGGTGCTGTTACTATCTGCATTGTATGACTGAGGAGGAGGTTAAATAACTTGGTCAAGTTCAGACACCCAGGAGACAGTAGATCAGGGATTTGAATCTTCCGGCATTTCCCTAGACTGTAGCGATTGTCCCCATGAAACTACTAGGCCCCATGGCCCCCATGATTCACATCTCCCAAGAGTAACCAGAATGCATCTTAAGAGAAAATATGTCTTCAGGTGTCAGAACCAAAATTCTTGGGCTCATGTCAGTCAAGGCCTCACCCAGACACCCTCCATGGGGGTTCTCAGGAAAGAAGGAGAAATGATCCTTAGCCAGCCCCTCACAGATGCCACGGCACATAGAGCATGGAAAGGCCACTGGGAATGCATGGGCCCCACACTGGAGGATCTGAACTGTGGAGGCGTTTGCCTCCTCTGGGCTCCTTACACAGACCAGGTGTGTGCTACCACACAGATTCCAGATTTATCAATAATGCAGATCACACATCCTCACCAGGATCTGGGGCTTTACAAGTTTTCTCAGCAGCTCAGTGAGCCCCTCAGCTTTCAGAGGCTCAAGGCACAGCCTACCAGCCCACCTGGGGATCCCCGCTCCCCTTTCTTCAGGTGGAAGCTCAAAAGTCATGCAGGATCTGGCTTCCCAATAGTCCCCTGAACATTGGAGAAGTTTTGCCTCACCTGTCTACCTTTCCAGCCTTGTACCTTATACATATAACCCCAGCAGAGAGGGCATGAGGCCATGTTCATCTGTAGACCTTGCCCCCTGAGGTATCCAGATCTCTTCCCTTAAGCCTGAGGCCTAGAGGCCAGCCTGGCTCCACTAATGATTGTTGCACGGCCTTCAACAGGTGAGTTACCCTCTCTGCATCTCAGTTTCCAAATAAAGGGTTGGAGCCTCTGAGGCTTAGTAGCCACTGCTCCCCCTGTCTGGAACACCCTTCTCTACTTCTTAGACTGTCTGACTCCTAGGTCTTTCTAGACTCAACTCATCTTATCAGATCCTTTAGGAGGCCTTTTCTCATCCTCCAACTTCCAATTCCTATCCTAAGCTGAATTGTGTTTCTTCTCTCTGCTCCAATAATTATTATTAGGTTTTTGGTATAATGTCAAACTTTTATTAAGCACTTACCATATGTCAGGCACTGTTCTAAGACTTCGCATATATGAATGTATTTACTTTTCACAACTCCGTAAGGTGGATGCTAATTGTGTCCTTATTTCACCAAAAAGGAAACTGAGAAATAGAGGCAAAATGAATTACCTGAGGTCATCTAGCAAGTAAGTGTCTGAGCTGGCATTTGGACTCCTCCATGGTTCTCAAGAATGATGAAAATTATGATAGGGCATGAGGGAAGCCACCTTATCTGTCAGAGGTTCCACTGTGGTATGTGATCCTGTTCAGGGAGGCCCAGGCAAAGTTTATAATCAAATCGCTTCTTTTGTTTTGGACACTTATAGCTTAGCGATGGCCTCCAAACCCAACTTTCTGCTCCCAGCATCAGAAATTTGTCTGTTGTCATTGTTACAATTACCCAAATGCACCCCAGAATAGAAGTCTAAGCTGTGGAAGGACAAGGACATGGCATCATGAATCAGAAAATGGGGTAAGAGGTGAAGCTGAGTGATTTGGGCAAGTTCCTCCTCCTCTCTGAGCTCTTCCCTCATCTGAAAACATGGAGATACAATACCTACCTCAGAGATTTGGGGAGGATCAAATAAAACAATGGGTATCTTGGGAAGCAGAGGCAGGAGGATCGCTTGAGGCCAGGAGTTTGAGATCAGCCTTGACAACAGTGAGACTCCATCTCCACAAAAACGTTTAAAATTAGCTGGGTGTAGTGGTGTGCACCTGCAGTCCTAGCTACTCGGGAAGCTGAGACAGGAAGATTGCTTGAGCCCAGGAGTTTGGTGCTGCAGTGAGCCACGACCAGACCACTTAACTCCAGCCAGTGACAGAGTGAGATCCTGTCTCAAATATATATATATATATATATATAAAATGATAAGAGTCAAAACCCTGAGCAATTAAATCATTCAATAGTGATTCAGCAAGGACCTATCACTGTTGCGGTCAAAGAGGGGAAAATGTCCCTGCCCTCAGAGAGCTTACATTTGAAGATGGTGTTTGCACTAGAGCTGTTCCCCAGATCAGCTCTTCCTGAAGGAACCTATCTCTATGCGTGAAATCACTGTGTCCCCATCATAGGAGAATTTCAGAATCCACATTGACAGGTACCCTACTGCCCTACTCACTGCTATGCCCTCTTCTTCCTCTGTCCCCACCTAGGTAAATGAGCAGCCTCTGACAGCTTACCCTCTTCTCTGGGTATTCTTCCTCCTCTCTAAAATAAGGAGTTTGGGTTGGATTGATTTCCAAACCCTTCAATGTGGCCATTAATTACTGAATGGTTTACTACTTCTTTAGTTGGTGAGGGTAGCAGGTGGGCGAAGGATAAACCAAGCATCTGCGAGGATCTTAGGAGATTCCCAGGCATGTCCTCATTAAGGCTGAGGTACTAAATTTTACTCTTTGGCCACATCAACACCTTTAATTTCCCTCCACCTCCTGCTGAGAATACATTCTGGTTCTCACCCATGTGCCTTTGTCTATGCTGTTTCCTTTGCCTGGGACACTTCCCTCCATTCCTTGCCTTCCTGGGCAGTTCCTATATTACCTTTAAAACTGAGAGCAGAAGTTGACCCCTCCCTAGTCTGCTATTTTTGCATTCAGTGTATTAAAGTATAATCTCATCATGTGAATATCTGTTTCTCCCACAACACCGAGAGCTCCTCAAGGACAGGGACTGTATTTTATAAGGTCGTGTCCTCAGCCCCAGATCAGTGCCTGGTGCTAAATTGGTATTAGATAGATTGAAATGAATGTGATTTAAAGTCACCTGCTGAAGTACCTAATATCAGGAAATGGTAGAACCAGGACTTGAACCCAGGGCTGAAGACTCCCAGTCCAGCACATCTCTTCTCCCTACAGCTGTCAGGAGAGGGTAAGAGAAGACCCACTGGCACAGGAAGGGTGTTGGGACCAGCTGCTTTCCTCAGCCTTCCACAGGGTTGGAGGAATCTGTGGGAAAGCCAGGTTGCCTGGGAGGGGTCCTCAGGGGACCATGCTGCCCAGACTTGTTTACTTCCCCTTTTCCCCTTCAGCCCAGCTGCTGGTTTCCTGGGGACTGAAGTCAAGCCGCACTTCCCCACTTCTGCTCCCTTTCCTCAGACCTCTGTCAATACAGTGGGAACCTGGCTTTCTGAATGAGATGGGAGGAGACAAAGAGAGCCACCCACCCCCACGCCTGTCGAGTGCCCAGTTCATATTCCTGCTGCGACTGTATCTAAATTTGCAAATCGTCACCCCGTGCCCCACCATCATGTGTCATCTTTTATGCATGGCCACCTCTGCCGCGCTGCACAGCCAGTTGCTATGCAACCAACGACAGCGCCGCGGGGGCCTGACATTAGTGAAAGCAAATTGACCAGAGGAGCCTTCATCCTGCATGCAAAGCAGCCAGGGCCTCACTCTTTGGAGAGGCTGCTGGAGCTGAGGCTGGGCCACCTTTTTCTATGGGGGTCAGACCCTTTGGCTGCAGCCTCCCTAGCCTAAGCTACAGACACTGGGAAGCTTTAGTCCTCCTACTTCTGAAAAAGGCTGAAATTTGACCAGTGACAAGAGCTGCTTCCAAAGGGAAGGGAGGGCAAATGCATCTTCAGGCTCTAAAATTCTGACCCTCCAGTGGGATGGACATTAGGTCCTGCAGAAAAAGAGTTACTATTCATTGAGCACTTACTATGTGCTAGGCAGTATTTGGCACGAGAACGGTACAATGCAAAAAGCTCTAACTTCCTGGATCCCAGCCCAGCCTCACTGTTACTCAGCTGTGTGTTGTGCATGCAAATTACTTATCAGGACATAGCCAGCCACTGAGGGCTGTCCCTAGACATCTTGGCAGGCAATAAAATATTGGATAATGGGGAGGGAGAAGGAAGCCAGTACAGCAGCAGGAGTGAGAAGATGAGAGAAAGGAAGGGAGGATGCTGCCTTGCACACCCAGTGTTGCAGGACTCTGAGCCTCCTGTTGGGAAGAACAGAGGACATTAGGAGCTGGTAGCTCTGCTCCCCTCTTCTACATAACCCCTAATGGCCCCCACTCCCAGGAATGTGACCTCACAATTTCCTATTTGAGCATGCATACACCATTTTGCACTGGAAGGTAGAAAGTTGTGCTGGAAAGGACAAGGCTTTGGAATTCATTAGAACTTGCCTCAAATCTGGGTGTTTGCCCTCCCTAGTGGTATGACTACAGCCATTTACTTCTTTTTTGAAATTTCAGCTTCTCAGTCTATACAATGGGCATGATGATACCTACCTTCACAGGGTTAAATGGCTGCCATATGTAAAGCACCTAACAGAAAATCAGTAAGTGCCACTCCTCTCCCCCAAACTTCAATGGCACTCAGTCAGCCTGACATTGTTCCTATCCACCTCCCCCAGCCTTGTCCTCCTCAGTCCCTGCACCTCTGCACTTTTCTTTGGGTACAGCATCTCCCTAGAAGCCCCTCCTCTTGCTCTTCGCTTTCTAAAGTCTGGTCCACCTCTAAGGACTATAAAACAAGTTAAAAGTAACTTCAGTAAGAAACCCTGCCCACCAGGCCATTCCCCAATCCACTTTCCAGTGGAAAATTCTTGGAGCAGGGAACCAAGAAAAGACTCTCCTTTCTTCGGTGGTGAGTTTGAGAAACTCTCTCTTAAAGCTCAGTCACCCATTGAGGAATGTCATTCTGTGGCTCCTGTATCCTGAGGGCTATGTCTCACCCTGAAGATGGGCAAGGAGCAACCTCAGAAAACATAGCTCAGGGACTTACCAGACACCCAGCATGGTTCTAGCTGCCATAACACCACTGTGGTTTTGCACTAGAGTTGTTAACACTCATAACCACTAACTAATTCACAATTACTCCTTAACATACCAACAAAACCTTTGCTTTTCATACAAATCAGCGAGGTAGACATTACCCCCCATTTACTGAGGAAGAACGGAGGCTCAGAGAGGAAAGGTGACATGTACAAGATCACAGAGTAGGTGGGTGGCGGTCAAACTGGAGCTGGTATGCAGTCTTACATGAAAATGGCCTACACAGCTGTAATATATGGACTTTGTCTACATCATCAGTCATCATTAACATTTCAGACTAGTTTGCCCATTGAAAAGAAACTCACAAGTTGAAACACAAAGCCACTTACCTGTTTCTTGTAAAGATAAAAACCTTTACCAAACCCAGAGATAAGCAGCAAAGGGAGTGCAAAGAGTATCAGCTCAGCTGGATGTCCCTGGGCAAGTGACTCCATTCTGCTGAGCTGGGGGTTCCTCTCTATGAAATGGAAGACAAGGAGGTTACCTACCAGATTCTCAGGACTGTTTTGAAGGGCAAAAATGATACAGACCAAAACAGTGCTAAAGTATGAAATTTTGATAGATATTAGTATATCCTTAGAAATGACATTGCTCCAAACCAGAGGTTAAAAACCTGTTTCTGACACATGCTTTTATTTAATTATTCGATGTTGAAAATTGTTGTTTTCATTGTTTAAAGGGAGATGTGCCGATTGTATTGCCTTCATGTTGTATTGAAAAGCATTTCTTCATTATTTGAACTAATTTCCAAACAAATTAAAAACTTGTAGCAGTCAAGCTCTGACTGTTGCATCTATTAGATTCAGAAGATGGCAAATTCCTTAAAACACAGATATAAACAATTCTGGTAACACAATCTGATTTTATAATTAATTTTCCGCCTGGGAAGGCGAAAGTTCTCCTTCTCATATTCTTTGTCCTCAGGTCCCCAACTGTTCTGCCAATTCTGGCAGACTCTTAATTAAGGAAAAGCAGATTTTGTTACCTGGAATTCTGTTGTGTTGTATGTAAAAAGGCAAATGTTTTTCTCAAATGTGCTTTGATCAGAGAGATGGCCAGGTAGAGGCAGTCAACACATTCTTCTGTGACTGGACCTTAGTGGTTCCTGTTTTTACCCTCCTGTTGCCGCTGTGAACACATTCTTATCAGAGTGTGGTCACTCAGCAAGCCACCCTTGTCAGTAGCCTGTAGAGGCCCCACACTATGCCAGCCTGTGGGGCAGATGTGTCCCGGGAGTACTCAAGGTCTAATCGAGGTGTGAGGCTGAGACAAGAAACAAGGAGCAGTAAACATGTGAGTAACAGGTTGTTGAAATATCAGGAGGGTGGTGCACTGGGCCCCTTGTGAGATAATGGCCATATTAGATGGGTCCAGATTTAGTCTATGACTAGGTCAGGGCCAGGTTTATGACTCAATCAATAGCTGGGATCAGTCCTCAGCATGCACCAAGATCAGGGATCAGGCTGTGACCAAGATTAAGGTTCAGAGAATGATCAGGTTTAGGGTTCAGTCTGTGGCCAGAATCAGAGCTCAGGCTGAGGCCAGGATCGCTCAGTCTGTGGCCAACATTTTTTTTTTTTTTTTTGAGATGGAGTTTCACTCATGTTACCCAGGCTGGAGTGCAATGGCACGATCTCGGCTCACCACAACCTCCACCTCCTGGGTTCAGGCAATTCTCCTGCCTTAGCCTCCTGAGTAGCTGGGATTACAGGCACGCACCACCATGCGCAGCTAATTTTTTGTATTTTTAGTAGAGACGGGGTTTCACCATGTTGACCAGGATGGTCTCGATCTCTTGACCTAGTGATTGTGGCCAACATTAAGGCACTTAAGACCTGAGGTCCAGGAATAGTCTCTGGTAAGACCAGGCTACACTGTAGTCAGGATCATGACTTGTTTGTGATCATGGCAGTGGGATTCATGAACAACTTAGACCTAGTCTCTGCTCAAGTATTTCATAGTCTTCTCTGGGAAACATCAAATTGAAATTACTCTACCAACTATTAAGAGTTAATGACAGACCCTGACGTGGAGATTCATATGCAAGTGATGTATTAAGGAAATGTTTCTAGGGGAAAATGGTAAGGGAGTAACGAAAGCAGGACAAGAAGGACAAGGAGCCAAATAAGGCTGTGTTCTCAGGCAAAAGTCCCACAGAGGGTAGACTTGAGCCTGATCCTGAAGGAGAAATCTGAAGTGTACATCATCCCAACTCAAGGCAAGGGAGCTGGGCTTTCACTCTCCCCCTTCCAACATCCAACAATCATTGTAAACTCTCAGACACTTCTGGCTGTCTGTGACAATGGGCTAGTGCTAATTCCCAGTAGTCTAAGAGCCATTCATCAAAGAAGAGCCTAGGTGCTTTTGAAAGAACATGAAGTGAGGTATGGGGACCCAAGGGGACCTGTGTGGATCACCAACATTATCTCCTAGAATGTTCCTGGGTGTGCTGATCTTCCCAGCCTCACTGGCTATCTCTTTTTAGTTTCCTTTAAGAGTTCCACTTCCTCTATGCCTTAAGTGATGGCATTTCACCTGCTTAAAACTATTCCCTGGCTCCCTAGTGCCTTGAGGATAAAGTCTAAGTCTCTTCACATGATTAAGAAGCCCCTTCATCCTCTGCCTTCTGCTGACTACCCCCAAGCCTCATCTTTCACATGGCCCCTCACTCTACAGTAACCAGACAAGACCTTGCTGTTGTATGGAAATCGTAGAGGAGTTCCATGAAGCCTTAAAACTGCTCATAGACCATTGGAGAAGACAGAAACATAACAGGCAAATCTAGAAGCTTATGAGAGTAGAGATAAGGTACCTAACAGCCTGATCTCAGTGAAGACTTCCCATGGGGAACAAATGTGAAGATGAAGCACGTAGATAAGTGGAAAAAGAGTGATCCTGGCAGGATCTGCAGCATTAGAGAGATGTAGGGGAATTGTGAGCAGGCATGGAACAGAGTGGTCACAAAATAAATATTTGTGCAATGAGTACATGAGTGAATAACCACACAAGTTTTACATATTATGGGCTTTAGAACTCAAAAGCCTGATTCCTGTCTCTTCCATTTACTCACTGAGAAACCTCAAACAATTATTTAACCACTCTGAACCTCGGTTTCCTCATTTGGAAAATGGGGCTAATGAGAATATCTAATATGAAACGATGGATGCAAAAATATTCTGTAAGCTGCAAATCCTTGTTTAAATATTAGTTTTCATTCATTTATTTATTCAAAGACTAGTTTGGAGTTCCTAGTCTCTTCCAGGTCATGTACTGGGACTTTGATCTAGAAATAGGAACTAGATAGGGACTCTGTTTGTAAGTAGAGAGGAGAACAGTTTAGGAGAGAAGGCAAAGAGACAAGGAGAGGAGAGAAGTTTAGCTCACAGTGAGACAAGTTGCCATAATCACAATCTGGGAGCTCGGAGAGCTCAGTGAAGAAGCTTTCCCAAATAAGGTAAAATTTATATAAGTGTACCTTTATGGCTAAGTGTGGGTGTGTCAAGTGAAGGAGGAGTCCAAGTAGAGAGACAATATATGAAGACACAGGGGGTGAAAAAGCAGTGTGTTTAGACCAGGGGGTTGTTCTGGATGGCATAGTGCATGTGGGATGGTGGCAGGATGTAAAAGGAAATGAGAAAGTCTTTTGAGATCAGATCATATAGAGGGAATTTGAATATTTTTCTGTAAGTATTGGGGACAATCTTTGGCATGAGAGTTGCAGTGGCACTGAGATGACAGGAATAAGTGAGCAAAGCCTGCTTGAGCCCTAGGAAGAAGAGTTGTGGTAACAGTACCTTAAGAACTGGAGAAACTTCTGAACCTTCACCACCAACACACAACCACCACCGCCACCAAGCTTCAGCAATCTCTCCCTTGGACAGCTACCTACTGTGAAAATACTTGCTCCATGAGTTCTTCTTGAAAATGTTGTTCCTACATTATTACTTCATTACACATTTTCCAGTGAGCTTTGTTTGATTATTTTACTTGTGTTTCTATTGGCAGGGCATATGATGAAACACCTAATTATCCCTGAATATCTTTACTAGTTATCTATAGCTGTGTAACAAATCATCCAAAACTTATTGGCTTAACACACCCATTTATACAGCTCATGATTCTGTAGGCTTGTGTTTGGGCTATCCTCAGGCAGGCAGTTCCACTGCTGATCTTGGCTAGGCTCATTCATTTGTTTACCTACAGTTTTGGGTCAGTTAGGAAGCCCTGCTTTGGAGATTGTCTGGCTATCAACTCTGTTGTTATGGGTAGCAACTGAGCCATGTGTTTTTTTATCATCTAGGAGGCTAGCCTGGACTTAGTTACATGATTATATTCTCAGTATTCCAAGAAGAGAAAGAGAAGTAGCTGCAAGGCCTCTTGAACTAGGCTTATAACTCACCCAGTGTCATTTGTTTTATTGGCCAAAGCAAGTCACAAAGCCAGCCTGAAATGCACTCCACCCCATGAGGGGAGGATTTGCAAAGTGCTGTGGCCATTTTTCCAATCTACTTCAAGGTATACAAACTTTCTTCCATTAACCCCGGCATACACAAGGAAGAAAGAATGTAAAACATTTCAAAGAAAGTTTTTGTTATTGTTGTTAATTATTTTGTGTAACCATAAAAAATGCTGGAAGCATGGTGAATTCCCTATTGTTTACACATTATCATCATTATTTATTGAGCACCTCCTATGTGCCAGAGACCAGCCAAATAAAAATGAAAAAGATATACACAGTACTTGTTCCCGTGGGGCTTGCAGTCTAATACAGAAAATATCTTAAGTAATTCCAATAACTTGATAAGTATTATGTCTAAAAATTGTATAGCTTTATTAATTTTTCCTTTATGTTTTTGTCTTTAGAGTTCTGAGTTTTAAAGGCTTCTCTGGATTAAATATATATTAATTTCTATAAAAGTGTTTTTGAAAGTTGTACCCCTGGCTGGAAGCTCTTTTACCTTGGGATCCCCAGTGAGCAAACCTGGGCCCAGCCAGAAAGTTAAGACCAAAGGAAGAGAAACCCCAGTTCATCTCCAGACCCAGGCTTTGAACCTTTCTGGAAAAAAACAATACTGTGCTCTTTTCACATTGTGTCCCCACCCCAGGTAATCACCCTTATAGAGAGGTTAAAGGCCCTACTCCATCAGCTTTGGCCTGATATTGACACCCCCATTCCAGGATGTTTTCTGTTGCCCAATCTCCTGTTGGGTCCCTAGCACAGGTGCTTTAATGGACAACCTGATGGATATTTAGAGCTCTCGGAAGCATTCGACTGGACTTCATTCCAGTATATACATACATACATACATACATACATGCATACATACATAGTGATAGATATAGATAGATAGATAGACAGATGATAGATAGATAGATGATAGTTTTCTATCTTTTTTCTTTTTTCCAATTAACATTGCATTTGGAATCTTGCCCTATGATGTTAAATAAACCTATCCTGGGGAATATATCATGAATAAATGTATACTAAAATATCCTAAAAGAGAAGCTGTTTGTCCAAGCATCTCTCCTTGGAGGATCTCTCTACCCCATCCTGCCACCACAACTGGGTCAGCTCAACA